AAGAAAAAAAGAAAACACAGCTACAGGCCCCCGTCCCATGCTGCACCGCGCCCATGTGACCTCCCGCGCGCCAACCCACCCGATACGCGACCGGACCTCCCGGCCACCCCAACACGTGGATGACCGCAGCCGCCGTGGTCGCCCACGCGCACGTGGCCGGATGCCGGAAGTGGATACCGCCGCACCGTCCGGCGTTCTTCCGACGACACCGGCCTCGCGCCCTGTGGCCTTAACTGACCCCGAGGCCAGCACTATCTCTCGCAGCCGAACACCCGAACCCAAGCGAGTTCACCAGCTGAACGAAAAGAACAGGCAAAAAAAAAAAGAGGACTTAAGATGGAAAAAACATGACACCTGAGGGATTCGAACCCTCGCCTATTACTAGACCGCGAAGAGGGTCAACTGCGAAGAGCTGAGTACCTGAACACGGCGCCTTAGACCACTCGGCCAAAGTGCCTTGGATGACTGGCAGGCTCGTAAAGAGGAACAAGTCTCTATGGTTCCTGGGCCGGACTCGGGTCGGCAGACGAGTCCCATGCGAGGACCCGCGTTTCCGGGACAACTGCTCTGTCAGCGGTGCTCCTCATGGCGAAGAGCATGCTGCATTTTGCACCAGCTCTGCGTGCGTGGGCCATGGGGATAAGCACGGATCCTTTGCGCCGCAAAAGAGAAACCAAGCTTGGGTCCCCCCGTGGCATGTGGTAATGCAATGCGGACCAAGGTCCAGGTCCATGAAAGCGACATGTCCCGGGAACTAGCAGCAGCACACACCAGCATTCTCGGCTCACTTCTATAATGCCATTTCAGCCTACCACACATCTCGGCTCATCATCCATAATATTCAGCGCATAAACTATACATCATCTCGTCGAATCATGACAACATTTTCAAGGCTTAACCACATTTCCACCGTACCAACCACGCAGCCCACCTTCACAACATGCACCGCCCCCCGGGTATCCCGACACGTCACGACATAGGAAAGCACCAACGAACGAAAAAAATAGCCAACAAGCATGCCAGCTGCCGTCTGCCGTCTGCCGGCCCTGCTGTATACCAAAGACGTAATGAAAATATAGTGCAGGAGAAGAGAAAAAACAGCTAATTTGGATGTCCACCGTGGTGCAGCAGCGCGCGCTCATCAGCTAATGCAGCCGCTCTTGAATATACACCTTGGCGGACAGTGCCGCGCAGCACCGCACGCTCATCTCGTGCTTGCACCACGAACACCGCACGGTCATGGACAAGGCACCCGCGTACCCGCAGCGGTCCGTCGGGCTCAGCACCCCCTCCGGGTCGGACATGGCCTTGTACAGATTGCCGGGCATGTCGTGGTAGTGCGTGCAGGAGCAGCACTCGACAAAGACCTTGGCGATCGGGTCGCGGTCCCCAGCCGCGAGCCGAGGCGTGGACTTGTGGCGGAGATGGCGAACGGCGGGGTCGGCCATGGCGGCCTTGGAGCCGTCTGCCGGGCGGACGACGGAGGCCGGGGGAGCGAAGCGCTGTTTGCGCGCTTGTTCGAGGTAACAGGCCGGCGGGGAAGAAGGAAGTGGTCGCCCGGAGCCTCGATCCACCGACCTGCTGCCTTTGGACCCGAGGTGGAGGGTTCGCTCGGTGGCGGAGGCGGACGGCTCGAAGCTTGCGTCCGTGGTCAGGCTGCTTTGGGAAGCGCGTCGCCCGCGGACGTCGGGTCTCCGCACGGGGATCTCGTTGAAGACGGCAAGGACCTTCTCGGCGGCGGCCTGGATGGGGTCGACTCCGCCTTCGTCTTCGGAATTCTCTGCGCTCGGCAGCGGGTATGTCTTGCTAAAGCAGGTTCGGACCACGTCGTGGACCGAGGCAGGTGTCTCTTCCGGACTGCATGCCAGAGGCAGTTCCCGCTCAGACTGCGGGCGCGATGTCGCGGGGGTGCTGGGGGACGAGGCGGAGTGGAAGAAGTCTTCGTCGCAGGACTCCTCCGAGGAACTCGTCGGCACGTGTCCGTTGCCGGTGGGCGACGACAGATACGGTGACATCTGACCGGTGGCAGTCGAGGCAGAGGTTGCTCCTTCGGCCCACTCCGGTTTCGATTGCCTGCTGCCCCTGGGCTTCGCCGCATTCCCGCGGAGAGGAAATGATCGCGGGGCAGATGGCCCTGCCTCTTTCGTGGGGGCGCGAGCGTCAGAATGATATTGTTGATGTTGTTGCGGAGTCAGTGGCGGTACTGGTGGAATCGACTCGCCCGAACTCGAGATGGAGTGCCGCTTTGCGCTTCGCTGGGGAGGCTCTGGCGGAGGGGGGGAAGAAGGAGCCGTCTTGTAGCCAGTCGCAGCAGATGAGGTGGACGAAACGGACTCATTGTTACTGTGCTTCCGTGGGGGTCCTCGATTCTCAGACTGCCTTTCCGGCTCAACAGCCGGGGCAACGGCAACGGCTGCCGACGACAGGGGCGGAGTCGCCGAGGATGCCACGACAAATGTGACGTGCGCTGCTGGTTTGGACGACGACAAGGGGCTTGTTGGTGACTCGAGCTGGTCTTGGGGACTCTTGAGAGCTGAGGGAACGTGTTCCGGTGGCATGTAATCAATCGAAGTCGAGTGGGCGCCGCCAGGTCCGCGGAGTTGTGATTCTCCACCGGGACTTGCTAGCGATTGTTGCCGCGAACCCGCCGACTTGAGGCCGACTCTGCTCCGCCACTTGTCAATGGTGCTGGCATCATGGACGGCTGGGGCCGTGGGAGGTATCACAAGAGGGGCAGTCTGCTGCCGGTGGTTGGTACCCCTGGTTATGGGGGGATATCGGCGCTGATCTGTCCCGCTGGGAGTGCCAGTACCTGAACAGTCTAGCGGTGGGTGCGATGGGCGGTTGTTTTTGCGAAGGGCGGGGTGAACATTTGATTCATCCTCGACGGCGTTGCTATCCAGAATCTGTTGCTGATGCGCATGTCGCTGCAGCTCGAGCTTGATGCCACCGATAAATCCCGAGTCGTTTACCTGGTCGGTTGAAGCCGAGCGCCGAAACTCAAAGGGAGCTCTGAGCATAGAAACAAACGAGCCCGACCGGCTGCGAGCCTTTCGACCGGGCTTGGTTTCGAGACCCGGACCGCTCGCGGCAGCTGCATGTTCTGCTCTTTCTCGCCCACGTCCCCTGGCCACGTCTGCCTCGGAAGCCAGCGCTTGTTGAAGAGCCTTTGGGGAGCTTGACGGCGGTGGCTTCTTGGAAAGCCTCTTGGTGCCGTCCTTTCTGGCCCCGCCTCTCTCCTTCTTCTCCATTTTTTTCTCCATCTTTCGTCGTTCATATGCTTCCCAGCTGGGGGAGTGACAGCGTGCGACTTCCTTGGCAGGAAATTCAAAGGCGACAACCTTTGTATACTTGTCGCGCGGTGTTGCTGTAGCAGAATCGGGATGGGCGCCAGGAGAAAGCGCCGGGATGAACAGGTCTGATGGGCTCACCGTGAGAGAGGTGTTGTTGCTGTTAATGGTCGTGGTCTTGTTGATGACGAGAGATGGAAGTTGAGGAGGAAGTGAAGCACCCCGGCGATGGTCCCCAACTCGTCGGTTGGAATGGCCCTGCACGGGATGGGCGAGAAGACTGGTGGGATCGGGCGCGGGCTGGGAATTTGTGAGCAAAACGGCCGTTGTTTGAGCTGTCGATCTTGGACGGCACGTCTGTGAATGCTGTCGGTCGATCTGGGAGCGGGATGTGAATGCAAGGCGGATCAGCAAGGTTTCTGCTTTCTTTCTTAACTGTTTCTTTCTTTTCTTTTCTTTTCTTTTCTTTTCTTTTCTTTTCTTTTCTTTTCTTTTCTTTTCTTTTCTTTTCTTTTCTTTTCTTTTCTTTTC